GATGGTTCAGAAATCACAGGATGTAATGTTTCCACAGTACTTCCACTGTATTAGAATTTGAGAATGCCACTTGGCCATTTTATACTCCTCATGCTACTGAATCAACTAGCAAAGGAGGAGGTACTAGCTGGTCTTGATTACCAAGGAAAAAAAACCAGGTTGTTGCTATGCAATGGACTATTTTCTAGGGTATGTCCAAAATTAAGAGTTAATGGGGGGCTTCCCTGGTGGCGCAGTGGTTGAGAATCCGCCTGCCGATGCAGGGGACACGGGTTCGTGCCCTGGTCCGGGAAGATCCCACATGCCGCGGAGCGGCTGGGCCCAGGAACCATGGCCGCTGAGCCTGCGCGTCCGGAGCCCATGCTCCGCAACGGGAGAGGCCACAGCGGTGAGAGGCCCGCGTACCGCAAAAAAAAAAAGAGTTAATGGGAAACTACAACCAATTTTTTAAAAAGGATAAGTCCACTGAGGATTCTAACTCTTCAAGAATGAATGTTTGAGATGTCCCACGAAGTAGAGAACCTTGACTATCTGAGGCACTGGCAGAGGGAATATAGAATAAATAGTGGAAGAAACTGGTAAATATCAACCATGGCTTTATGATCAGTAACAGAAACAAGGACAGTAACAGCACACGTGTACGCACACAGACACAAACAAAATTCTATTCTTACAGTTTACACACTGATCCTATCAACATTACCCTAGCAGTAACAACACCGTAACAATGACACCCACTTTGTTTCAGCATCAACCACTGAAGTTAGCTTCTATTTTCTTTCAATACTTCGAAAAAAGCCTCTGCATCCTGTCAGAAATACCAGTATCAGCTGAGCAGGACTTCTTTCTCATATGTCTGGGGCCAAGTTCCTAAGGCCCTTCCTCTGAGCTCCAAAGTTCTGCTAACTTCAACCTCTCCCAAGCTCTTTCCTTTTTTCCTCCAGTACCAGGAGTAACCTTGTGCCCTTTGATGGTCAATAGAGGCCTCTTCTGGGCAGGTCTGCCCTAGAGCAGGCTTCCTGGAGTGGGTACCATGGATCTGCCCCATACAGTCCCAGCTCTGCCCACCCTTCTCAGCTTTAAGTCTCCTCCTGCCCTAGGCTCCCTTCCTCATCGACCAGCAGAACCCACCCCCATGTGGGCCTGATGGTCCAGTTGTTTCCTGAAGTCATTATTGCTCTTTCAACCTACTATATATCTGTGTAACTCATTCCCTATATGAAATCCCATCTTTTGTGAAAGAGGTGCTAGTGTGGTGCTTTTTTTCCCTTTACCAAACCCTAACTCTAGAGGATAGTTTAATATTTCTAATCAGAGCACACTCTTTGGTATGTTTCTCAGCCAGAAAGAGGATTTTTTTTAAAGCTATCTCTTGAAATTTTTCTTATTAGCTATAATTACTCTATTTCGAGATCAACAAAAATAATGAATTTACATCAGTTTTTTTTACTAGCAATCAAAAAAAAAAAAAAGAGAGAGAGAGAAAAGAGATTACCAGTTAATGAATGATCTTGTCAGTTGTGACTAATGTTCAGTGATATCCAAAGAGTGCAAAGGCATCCAAAACTGTTAACTCAAAAAAAACTTTTTAAGATTTTTCATCTATGAAGACTACCATCCTATAATTTGACCTTCTCACTATTCTTTTTAAGTTAATAATTTAAAGGAAAGAAAAAAAAAAGACACTGGGTGGTAAGACAAACTCTATGGAGAAATGTATTTTAGATCTAAACTTCAACTAAAGGAGCATTTTTATCCTTGCTCAACTTTCCTCTACAAACCACACAGATTCTTGGAAGACAGTGAACAAAAGCAAAGTAAACAGAAACCCTGCACTTGTTTATTTCAATTTTTGAAAGTCCATCCCATGGTAAAACCTCTAGGTGCAAAAAACATGTGTCTTAAAGATAAATTTGTCTCTAGAAAAAGATCAGATGTTTTAAACGGGTATCTGAAAAGACAATAAATAAAGACTAACTGGCCAAAATGGACATTTTCTAAATCAGAAAACCTCAGCACTTATATATTCTGAAAGCTATTATAATAATGCTCAAGATTTGAAAACAAACCTGTCTTCGCTAGGTTTCCTCAATGAATTAAACAATAGACAAATATACAGTATATCTGTCTGGATCACAAAATAAATGAGTTGATAAATACCACCCACTTAGTCAATGAGTAAAATTACACTATTAATTCATAAAATTTTTATAAAACATAGCATCTACTCTCTACTAATACAAGTAATTCATTAGTGCTCCTTTCTAACAACAGCTTTCTCCAAAAATAATTTTTTAAAAGGCTCTGGACAATATCCTGAATAAAAAAAATATTACAACAAGATGTAGTAAATATACATGTACATACTTGATGTTTGTTTATGACTAAATGAATGGTTTAGATTATGACTGCATATTTTTACACTTTATAAATATGCTACATTAGCAATGTATTGTCTAGTGAAATAAGCCTTGGAAGATGAGACGGAAGACTTGCTTACTGACTCATCAACATCATGCTGTATCATCTGAGCCAAGTCACTTCATGCCTTGTTCTCTCTACCTGTAAAATGCCTTTACTTGCTCATTACAAATAATAACTGTTAAAACAAAGCTGTGGAAGAAAGATGTTATATACATGTATTAAATTTCAACTTCTTTACCCAAAGGAAAAAATCTTAAAAGTTGTGACATGCCTGGGTTACTGACCTTGAAGAGGACAGAGTGATATAAAAGAAAGAGCATGGTTTTTAAAATGAGAAAATCCAGACTTCACCAACTACTATATTTGTGGCCTTCAGTGAATCTATAAATTCTCTAATCTTGAATTTCCTCATCTATGAAATATGAGCATTTATTTCTTAAGGGTTTTAATGGGCATTAATAAAGAAAACTATATCAAATACCTAGAACAGTGCCTTAAGTATTTAAAAAAGTTAGTTTCTTTGCCTTGAACTTATGGGCATGTTAAAAAAACAAATTCCCACTTTTGAATTCACATAAACATCTGATTTCAAGAAAAGCTATAAAGTGCAGAGATTAGGTTCTTCTCCCTCCAAAAATAATTCATATTAAAAAAAAAACACCTCTTTTTGGTAGCTCTTTTCTCTGCTAAGGTATAAACTGACAAATTAAGAGTTAGCTGTTTTCACATACTATAATCAACTTACTACAAATATCAAACACACAAAACAAAGATCCTTTTAAACTGCCTACATATACCATTCCTAGCATTGTGTCTTCCACTTTCAGTGTTAAATCTATGAGAAAGTACAAAGAGCCCTCTTTCCTTTCCTCTGGTCAGTAGACATACAAGAGTAATTTTCAGTTCTGTCAAATCCACAGTGATTTCAAAACTAAAGAACAAAATTAGGAAGGAAATAGTTGAAAACTATTACTTTCTTTTGTGGACATATGATTCATTCCTTTAACAAGCAAACAAAACAAACAAAAACCCACTCTGATGAAAGTTAAACCCCAAATATCATAGTAACCTTATAAGAAATCAATTCCGTACTGAATCTCTAGCTATAAAATATATTAACCAGAAAGTATCTTCTGTGACAGGAGAGATGGGATGTTTCCAGGGATGAGGGAATTTCTACAGTTCACCCATAGCAAATACTATTAATTGTAAGATATATCCAATTATGTACTCAGAACCTAGCAGCTGAATCCACAAGGGTTTAGCAAGCAAAAATTTTGGCACAAAAAGTGGAATAACATTTACTCAAGAATAAAACTGGAGCCATATTTAGCAGTCTAAAACCTTCTAAACCAAGGAAAAAAATAATCTTGAAGGAAGTTTCTGTAATCATCTGGTTTGCTTTCTAGACAAGGGCTTCAATAGAATTGAATGCTTCTGGAAATCAGCCACATTTACTCTGGATGAAATTCTGGCAGTTTTCAAAAAAGAAAAAGTGGAGAACAGGTCTGTTTATCATTGCTTTCACCTAAAAACCATTAATCACTAAGGGTGGTATAGGTACTAAACAGAATTTTTCTTCCTTTCTAAATATACACAGTTTCCTATACAGTACAGCACATTTTGCAGTTCATGGTAAATTTTTTGATGTTTTTGCAACAGCACTTTTCGTCCTTTCCAAAACAACCTCATTCGTAGTTTGCTGTTTCTGTTTGCCTCATCTGCACTTAGCAGATCATGCTTCAGTGACTTAGAAATCCCAGCCACCAAAATTCAAGCCAAAGTTTGAACTGCGGGGCGGGGAGGGGGGGACGGCAGGGGGGGGCATATCAAGTAATTAAACCACACTTGTAAGGGAGAATGGTTTTTACCTCCTATGACTTTATAATGTGCTCTTTTAATCCAGAACCAGTCTCCAATTTTAAGAAAAGTTATGAATTTATTTTTAATTTAAGGAATTATTTTGTAACTACTATAGTTCTCTTGGCATCATCTTCCAAATTTACCTTCTGGCAATGACACAAAACCAGGAAGACTATTCCACATGTTAACACTGTATACTTCAGGTAAAACAGCTCAGTGCTCTGGGAAGTTTCATTATTAAGGACTTACTCAAATTGTTGCAAATTAACATAACTTTAATTTAGAAACCAAAGGGAGAAAAAAAAAAGAATTAGTAAGGTTGGAGATAAAGCCTGTATAGTTAGATGATAACCATGCTCTGGAGTTACTGAGGCATGTCTCATTTTCTCACTACTAACAGTTTAAAGGATTCAGTTCCTTCCATCTTATGGATTAGAAGATGACCTTGAAAAGTTTCCTTAAAAATAAAATAAAATCACATTTAAAAGTGGTATCACCCAATCTGAAATAACATTATACAGTTAGACACTGGAGACTTTAGGAAATTAATATGACTAATAAAAATATCTGAAAGAAGAATAACTGTATTAATGAACTTATACATCAAATATCATCACAAAGTGCTCTATCAAAAAGTGAAACCAAAAAAATTAACAACTGTCTTTTTTGCTTTGCTAAATTCTCATTTTACTACTAAGTACCTTACAACATACCTTCTCAGAATGCCATTTTCCTGGGGTATTACACCATTGATAGCTGCCTGCAAACAAAAAACAGAGAAGACATTTAAAGAAACAGAAAAATGCTCAGGGGTGGAGTGGAGTGGGGTGGAAAACACTGTAAAGGAAAATAAGTATACTCTGAAAATTTAAACAAAATAATAAGTGTTTCCTTAGTGATAAAAAATATTCTCCATTAAATGTTTTTCTCCCTCTCTATAATAAAACTGTGTTTTAGATAATTTAAAAAACATACATTTGGCATCTAATATCCCCAAACCTTGAGTCATAAAAAGCTTAATTCCACAGTCCTCATTCAAGCAAAACGCCCACAAAACCAATGTTTAAGGGTGTTAAAACAAGTAAAATCAGTACCTTAAAGTAATCTTTTAACATTATTTCCTTCCTCAGATTGAGAGGAGCAAGATATAAAATCACAAATGAAAAATGCCAATAAGAATTTTTAAATTAGCTCAGGAATTAAATTCATTGTGTTGTGTTACAATCATTATTCTTAAAGAAAAGAATACTTAGAAGGAAAAAAATGTATCAAAAGATCTTTGATAAACACAGGACAATTACATCAGGTTACAAAAGGAGCAGGAGCATCCCTGGGGGAGTCTCCTTATATAAAACATTCCTGAAATTGGTCTCTAAGCTAACAAGTCACCAATTACCTAGAACATAGGTAAACACATTTGCCATGATTTGGACATTTTTGAAGGCTACTAAGCAAACAGGCTGTTACATCCTGGATTGTGGGTATGTCATTACAGGGTAATAGAGAAGATTCTCTGGAGGAAAAAAATGACTCTTCCAACTTTGCCTTTGCATCATAACAACTTCTTCCCTCCCCCTTCCCATCCACATCAAAATGGGAGGAGGGGGGAAGCTAACACTTGGATGTTTTATCAGCTGTGTGGAGATCAACTGCAAAAAGGAGTTTGTGTATTTCGTGAAACATTAACTTAAATATATGCCAGAGGTAGGTCAAGTTTACAAAGTTATACTGTTGAATGGAAACAACGTAGAGTGTAAGACACTTGCTATGAATTTTGAAAGTTTTAACGCTCCACTGGCAAAAATCAAAGAAATCCACAGATTATTAAAGACAGTGGATACCATAGAACCCTGACAACTCTGGAGGCTCATAAATCCTTAGAGTCAAGGAAATGCTAAAATCAGTTTTCAAAGCCACAAATTCAATAGAAGCATCCCTGCCTGGTGCCAGGTCAATTATCCCTTTTCTGTTGACAGCAATGGTTCCACATACAAATATCTTCTTTGTTAAAAAATAGAAAATGGTCAGAGAATATTCTATGATGTTGGAAAAGAAACAAAACACCAGAGTTTGGCAAGATTTTGTTCAAATTTTCACTAGGGAATGCCAAGGTATAATGGAAAGAACACTAAGAATTTATAAAGTCCAAAATTTGAATCTAGATTCTCCCATTTATTACTTTGATGACCTTAGTATATATTCTATACTCATTGAACCTCCCTGAGCCTCAGTTTTCTCATCTGTATGAGTAAATACTACATTTTCAGCCAAAATGGCCCTGCCTTTTTGTTCCTTAAAGGCATCAAGTTTTTTGTTTATTTCTTAGGGCCTTTTAAGATGCTATATCTACATGGAATGCCCTTTTCCCTATTCTTTGTCTGGCTGAATCTCAATCATCATAATTGATGTTTTTGTTAGATATACTTTTTCCAAAAATTCTTCTCCGATCAACACCCCCCCCAATAGGTTTACTCTCACAAAGAACCCTGTACTTTTTCTTCATAGCAATTGATAATTACTTATTTGGTGATTGTTTTATGTCTGTCTTTCTCACTAGACTGTAGGCTCCATGATGGAAGAGATGATAACAATTTTGTTCACCACTTTATTCCCGCTGCCTGGCACAATGCCAGCACATAAAAGGCACTCAATAATCATTTGCTAAATGAATGATGCTAGAGGAGTACAAAGAAAAGCAGCACAGTGAAGACTTGCTTAAGGCTCACAGAAAGCTTCCTGGATGAAATAATGTCTCAACTAAGACTGAAGGGTAAATGAAAAGTAGCAAGATGGGGAAGGGCGCAATACTATTCAGAAGGTACCATGACACACCTCCACTTTCTTTTTTAAATATTTATTTATTTATTTTGGCTGTGCCATGTCTTAGTTGCGGCATGCAGACTCTTAGTTGTGGACTCCTTAGTTGCAGCACGTGCACTCTTAGTTGCAGCATGCATGCAGGATCTAGTTCCCCGACCAGGGCTCGAACCCGGGCCCCCCCACATTGGGAGCACATAGTCTTACCCACTGGACCACCAGGGAAGTCCCCACGCCTTCACTTTCAACCCTTTTCCTCTTCTAAGATCTTATATTATTTTAAATAATGTATTTGCTTTTGGATAGAATGTTAATCCCTGACCTCAACCTTATGTACATAATAAACTCTGTACATAAATAAGTAAAATGTAATTCAGAATGAAGATACAATAAAAGTATGATTTGCTAAAGAAATATAGGATAGGGAGAGTGCTTTCTGACTGTGAGGATTAAAGAAAGTTTCAGAAAAGGGACAGCATTTGATATGGACACTGAATAATGGGTAGATGTAGAAGCAAAGGAAAATTTCAGATGAATTCGACTTTGAACAATGTTAACTTTGAGGTAATAGTAGGATATCATTTGTTGACTTCACAAATATGTACTGCAGTTGACCCTTTTGACCCTTGAACTACACAGGTTTGAACCGCACACAGGTCCACTAATACTCGGTTTGTTGTTGTTGTTTTCAATAAATACATTCGACAGTACTACACAATCCACAGTTAAATCCGAGGATGCAGAACCACTCGGAGACTTGAGCTTGAGCATCTGTGGATTTTGGTTTCCCCAGGGACACCTGGAAGAGATCCCTAATGGATACCGAGGAATGACTGTAATTGCCAACTATGTACCAGATATACTAATGGACATAACATAGCATGTCTTCTAGCATGGAAAAAAATCCATTCAACAATTAATTTTACTATGAGAAGTTCAGGTAATATCAAAAAGGAGACAAAAAAGTAATTTTAAAAATCAGAGCTAGATTAAGTAAAACACCTGCTTATTTGAAGCCCTAGGAATACTTTAATTCCCTCCCTCCTTTACTCTCTGGTGAAGAAAAGTGAGACAAAGAATCTTGGGGAATTCATATATGTAAAAAAAAGAGAAGAGAAAGCTAAAAACAAAACAAAACAACAAAAATGGAAGGGTTAGATAGGAGGGGAAGGACCAGGAATATGTCACAGAGAGGCAATGAAAGTACTATAAGGAGGGATTAGACAAAATAAAAAATGTGAAAATAGTCTAATATAATGAGGCCTAAGAAGAGACTGTTAGACATATTTGAAAACAGTTTTAGCAAAAACTGTATCATAAAAGGCTAAAAAATACAAGGGAAATAAGAAAGTAAGTAAAACTGATTCTTGAAACAATATGAAAAGTATAAAGATAGGACCTGCAAGAAGAATGGCTACGATAAGTTTTTGTTTGCCTTTTTTTTTTTTTTTAAAGAATAGTGATTTCTTGAGTTCAAAGAGAATTCATGGAAAGGGAAACAATAAAGACTCAAGAAATAAAGGGTAAAATTAAAAGTTTGGTTCAACAAACTTACCAAAGGCCTATTCATTGCCAGGCACCATGCTAGACTTTGGGTATGCCTGGTACCTGATCTAGGGCTCAGGAGAGCACAGATAGAGGGGATACCTTTAGAAAAGAGATTAGATTTAGAAAAACCTAGATTACAGACTAGAAATGATACTGATCACATAAGAACCACGTTATCATTTGCTAAATGTAAATAATCCCATTGCTAATTTGTTTTTGTTTTCTTGTTTTTCTTTTTTGGCTAGGAAGATATTATATCTCTCATTCTATAAACAGGAATATAATAATAGGGCATGATTAAATATCTGGCCAAAGAACCAGAGAATAAACACAATATTTCTATTTCTGGGACCAACTCAAACACACTACCGTGGATCTTCAGCAGACTGCAACATATTTAAAAAACAGTATCTTGCCTTGACCTAGTTTATGGTAGTATGAAAATCCATTTTGGTATAACTATTATTGCTTTTATGCTAATTATGTCCATGACATTTTTAATCAGTTAATTTACGACAATTAGAATCCCAGCCTCTAAGTTCTCTTTAGCAAAACTTGACAACACCCTCTGAATCGTCATTTCTCAGAGTCCACTGGAAGACATGTGAGGTATGTTTAAAGTATAGTGGAAGTCAAGGTCAGAGGTGGCTGTAAGAAATATTCTTATCTTCAGCCTTAACAGAAGGAGAAAACCATGACACTCATGGTGGGCTTCAGACCTTTTGGGGGAAGGGAAATGGCAAACTGGTAGATTATAAAACTACAGCATCCTAAATAAATAAATAAATAAATAAAATTTGAAAACTACAGCATCTAATATAAATCATCCCCTATGCATATAGAAAATCTTGGCTTTGGTCTTTTTATATTTTTAAACAAATGACCCCTGAAGAAAATGCCAATGAGATTTCTTGAGAGGGGAGGGAGATGAGACAGGGATGTACAGACAGCATCCAAAAATTTCAATGATAACTTCTGAGTAAAGGAGCTGTAGTAACAATAAAGGTAGCTAACATTATATAGTTTTTACTAGGTGCTATGATTCTCTAGGTGCTTTACTCATATTAGATCATTTAACTCTCATATTACCCCCTCATTTTACAAATGAGGACACCAAGAAAACACAGTGGGAAATCGTGACAACAATGGGTAGGCAAAAGATGAAAGAAAAAAATGATGAATTTCAAAATTTGCTCTTTGAAAGACACCTCTAAGAAAATGAAAAGGTAAGTCACGGACTGGGAAAAGTATTTGCTATGTATAAATGTCCAAGAAGGTATTTATATTCAGAATATAAAAAGAATTCTTATAACTCAATAAGATGACAAACAAGTCAGTAAGAAAATGGGCAAAAGATTTGAACAGAAACTTCTCAAAAAAAGATATATGAATAGC